GAAAAGGACACGTCGAAGTTCCGCTTATCCCGGAATTCCCAACCGCCGAGCCCAATTCCCCGTGCGCTCGCTAAGGCGCACGTAAATTCCCATGTATTTCCCGACTTGCAAAAAGAAAAAACAGAACCCGAAAATCGAAAAAACTTCAAGAAAAAAGAAATGCAGCATCCGAAAGCAAGAAACCAAAAAGGGGTTCTTAATGGTATATAAACAGGGGTACAAAAGATAGCATGGGTTCGGGAAGTGGTTCGTCACAAAGGTGACGCACAGGGGGTTCCAAAATCATGCGTTTTTCTAATTGCATGTCATGGTGGAAGAGGAAAGAGGAAGAGGGAGAACAAAGTGATGCATGAGGAGCCAAACACATCAGCAAGGCTTCCAGAAAGAAGCACAAGGGGTGATAACTGAGCCGCAGATGAAATGGCGACAACATCCGTGGCAAGACCTTCGCAACCCTGTCATATGCAACCCCCCGCCCTGTAGAGATCGTCCAGGTGACGCCATCATGGTCCACGTGATCTCCGCGTGCTCGGCACCCCAGCTCGGTGCTGCCCGTCGAATCAGAGTGTAGGTTGACGTCATCATCGATGGCATGATCTTCGCGAAGCTTACTGATTTGTGGCGATGAAGAGAGGGGGGGGGGGGTCGCTTGAATAGGGCCTACCGCCTAGTTGGAATAGGCCAGTAGAGGCGGTACATGGAAGGGGTCTCGCGGGGATGACGGGGAGGAAGTGGGGGTAGGAAGCGATTCATCCCTTCCATCGTCACCGGAAGCTCCTCATATCGGATGATCCGGTGGAAGTGGGGGAAATGATCGCCGCTGCGGGGAAGGGAAGCGAGGTAGTCGCGATAGAAGGAGGAGAGGGTGCAGAAGAGCGCCGCTCGAAAGGTCTCGAAGTGGCGGCAAGCAGGGATTGTCCCCGTGGCGACACAGTAAACTTCTACCACATTGCATCGCTCCCATGCAGCGCTGAACAGCAGAAGGTGCCAACAGAACGTGGGAGCAGCGGATTGAAGGGAGGCGTGGGGGTGGACGGTGGCGACTAGACGGGTAGAATAAAAGTCGCAGAAGAGATGGGGATGGAAAGGATGGGAGGGGAAGGTGACGGGGGTACGGATCTGCTCGAGGGTGAGGAAATCAAGGGGTCGGCGGGACAGCGTTCGAGGACGAAGGCCTATCACCCGCATCGGTACGTGGGCGAACTGGGGGACGGGTGGGGCTGGGGGAGGAGGGGGATCGACTCCGTCTCCATCGCGCGGTACTTGAGGTGGCGGCTGCAAGGTCGCCATCTTCGGGCTTCGGCGATTCTGGATCCCTGGTCGGATCGTTGCCGATGCGCAGGCTAGCTTGGCTGACGAACTTCAGCTGGCGCTTCCCAGTGGCAATTTCTTCGCGCTTTCGCGCCGCTTCCGGATCGTTTGCCTCCGTTCCTGTACGCGTCGCTTCCTCCGGCAAGGCTTCCCACTCGGACCCGGTTTCCTCTTCCTCCTCTTCTCCTTCGCTCAGCTCGCCCTCGCTATGTTCACTATAGCTTCCCTCTTCCGATGTTTCTTCGTCGTCGTCGATCACCACTTTCTCTGCCCTCGGATAGAAGGCGTGAGGGATGATATCGTATGGCTTAAGGTACTCCTGCCGCGATGGTAGCGTATCCTCGTCCCTAGGTTCCTCCACGCACGCAATTCACTGAAGGTATGGGTCCAATGATCGCTCGAAAATGTACGGAGCAGGACTGTCGTCACTCTGAAAATAGATGTCGGGCGAGAGATCGTCCGCCAATTGCACGATCGGTGCGATAAGCTCCTGCGCAATCAGGTGGCGTCGACCCGGCCGTACCGATCCGAAGAGAAAGCCAAAAAGATCTCCTTCTACGTTAGTCCTCCAAGCCAGTATGATCAGCAGCTCCGGATTCTCGATCCACGTGGGATGCTCGCTAGTGCCCGTCCACGTCACATGTACTCTGGCCAGGCAGACAGACAGCCCCTCAAACGTTTCGCGCCACAACCGCCAATGTCCAGGATTGATAAGAGGGACTGAAAGAGGCTCGAACGAGAAGGAAAGAGAAGGGTGAAGATTGGATTGCCAGAAAGTGGGGAAGAGAGAGGGGAGAGCAAAGATAGAGAGGCGCGAGGAGATCGGCGTGGTTCATTGGGGATGTGGGAAGGGGACGAGGATTGGGATCGCAACTGGCCGCTCGCGCGGTGATCGGTGAATATTGTCTAGATCCGATGTAAAGATCGGGATGACGTTATACCCTTGTCGGGCGAGGACGTGCTGCCACACGTTGGACACTTGCTCCGTCCACTCGCGTAGCGACGTCAAGATTGCAGTATGCCACAGCAGATTGACGGAGCTGATGTCGCCGGTGAATGCCGCCACCGTAGTGACGTGGCTCGTCCTGGGACCGGCTCGCTGATAAACTGCGGTTACCTCCGCGAATACTACCGCGTGAGGACTTCCTTCGATCCGAAACGCGACAGCGGCACAGATACCTTCGTCGCAGAAGAATCGCATCAGACGCCGAAGATCCACATTGAGTCGAGGGTGACAAACTTGCCGAACCTCTAAGATTTGGCCACGTGGCTGCAACAGTTGCGCGTCAAGAACCCGCTCCGTGATAAAACTCATGGCGAGGTGGGAGAGGAGGACGAAGAACAAGAGGGAGAAAGAGGAGAGAGAGTTAGATCGTCGTCGTTCTCCTCGCTTTCCGAGGAAGAAGAGGGAGGAAGATCAACAGGAGGAAGAAGACGGAGGTAGGAGGTATGCTGGACGACGGGTACAGAGCTATGGCTGGCACTAGCCTCAGGCGCGATGCGCACTGTGTTGGCGTCGTTGGGTCCGAGTTCGACCACGCGAAAACAGCCAGAGAACTTGGGAGCGAGTTTCCGGACGCGTGCACATTTACGTACCTGCACTAGGTCCCCTAATTTATATTGGTACTGGGGCCCAACATTTCCATTTCGGGCCTCGTAGCGACGGATCTGTCTACCGTGGGCCAGTTCGGTCATCCTTTGCCTTTTTCGGGCTAGCTTCGGGACGACCCATTCCATTAATTCGGTGTACCTTTTGGCCTTGGCCTTAAGAGCTGCACGCGTGTCTCTACCCCCTGCTTCGGCAATTTTCGAGTTACCCCGGTAATCGACACAGGGGAGGCTATTAGTTCGAAGTTGAAAGGGGGTAAACCCCGTAGACTCATGAGGGGTGGCCCGGTGGATCCCAACGATCTGATATACTATCTCGGGCCAAGGACGCGTGTCGTGTGCCACTAAGTTCCTGCGAAGGGCGGTCTTAATCATACGGTTGGCATTCTCGGCCAACCCGTTCGACTGGGATACGTGGGGTATCGTATGTTGGAGCATGACGCCCCTTCGCGCAAGCAGTTCTTCAACCTCACCTTTGAATTCCGACCCATTGTCAGTTAGAATTTCCTCCGTATCTAGGTGGGTATAGAGGAATCGTTCGATGTACGTGGCTATTTTTGCGGCCTCTCGGGTTTTACAAGGATAGACTTCGATGTATTTGGAGAAATGGTCAATTAAAACTAACAGGATAGAATATTCGCAGCGGTTTGGGCCAGGTGGCACGTCAATATCTGTCGTGTCTATACCGACTCGCTGGAAAGGACGCTCTACTTCCGTTGGTACGATCGTGTTTGGTCCCCGTATAGGGGCGGGATCAGCGGCACACACCAGACAGCTAGCGACAATGTACTTGACGTCATCTCGTATATTAGACCAGAACCATCGGTTCAGGTCTACAGTTGCCTTTGTGACACGTATCGCAAAATGAGCGGCCTGTTCTTCGTGAGCGGATCGGATCCAATCGTATCTCTAGAAGGGATAAGGAACTGTCAACCACGAACCTGATCCGTCAGTTTTACGCTTTTTCAAATGACCGTTGATCCATCGATAGTCCCGAGATCTCTCGGTTGCCCTACGTCTGTTGTGTTTGGTGAGGTGGCCCAATGATAATCCCGCTAATTTTGCTAGTAAAATTTTGTCCGTCCAAACCTCCGCTCGTCGGTATTTTTCGTCGTATTCAGGGCCGTCCATACGGGCGGCCTTGAATCAAACCTCCGTGGGGAGCTTGTTCGTTCTACACAGGGGGCACCTCCATTCCTTGCTACTCGTCTGATATCGAACGCAGGCCCCGTGCGGACGGTTGACACAAGTGGCACATTCTACCCAATCGACAAACCCGGTCTCGAAAGGATGACAGTCGACCCCATAAACTTGTGCAGTACACGTGCAAAAATAACACAATTTATCAGGGAGAGTGGTGAAGAAAGCGGAGGACGTGAGAGGGGCAGTATTAGTAGGAGATGAAGGGGTTGTGGAGGCGAGTGGGGTAGTCATGATGACAGAGGAGGAGAGGTGGGACTGACTTGTGGAGGGAGTGGAACAAACAAATTAGTCCTCTTGCCACTTACTGCTTCGACAAAATCTCCACTTGGCCGTACTGGGGTCCAACCTCCTGTTTAGGTTCGTTCCACGGAATCACCTCCTCATTCTTCGAAACTTTCTCTGGCTGGTGTAGCCGTGTCAGTCCGTCTGCATTCCCGTGTCTCTCGTGCTTATGATGACGAATGTGAAAGTCCATGCTCTGCAGCACCGTTGCCCATCGCCCGATCATGCCCGAGTAATCCTTCGACTTCTTCAGAGCCAACAGGGGCTCATGATCAGTTACCAAGGTGAATCTTCGCCCGTACAGGTAAGCACGAAAGTGACTGATTCCCCCGAGAGCCGCATAGCATTCACCCGTTGGAGCGGCGTAGTTGCGCTTGAAAGCGGGCACTGATTTGGACACATACTCCACCACACTCTCGAGTCCGCTTGGTCCCACCTGGGCAAGGATCGCCGAAATCGCCTCTGGCTGCCTGTCAGTGATGAGAATAAAAGGTTTTTCGGGATCCGGTCTTATAAGGACCGGACCCAAAATGCGAGCGACCTTGAGTGTGGAAAACGCTTGATCGCATTCCGGCGTCCAGATCAACGACTGATCCTTGCGCAACAGATTTGTGAAGGGTCCCTCAATCGCCGCGAAACCCTTGATAAATCTTCGGTAGTAGAGGCTAGGCCCAGAAAAGCGCGAACTTGCGTGATAGTCGTAGGCACCGGCGCGTCCCTGACAGCTGCCACCTTTTGCGGCTCCGGTTGGAGTCCCTTGTCTGTCACCACGTGCCCTAGGAAGGAAATGGTGGTGAGGAAAAACAGACACTTCTCAAGCGCCACTTTGAAGCCTACATCTCGTAACTCATGCAGTACCCATTCGATGTGCTGCACGTGTCCCTCGTAGGAACCTGAATACACCAGGATGTCATCCATGTACACAATCACGCAGTAGTTGATGATGCTCTGCGCCAAACGAGTCTTCCTCATGAAATTCTGGAAAGTCATGTTCATGGCCCGCTGAAAGGTCGCAGGGGCATTGCAGATACCCATCGGACATCGAATCCACTGCCATGTACCTTCAAAAAGCACGAACGCTGTTTTCGGACGATCTTTCTTATGAACCAGAAGATGATGGAACCCATGGCGAACATCAAACTTGCTGAAAAATCGAGCACTCCCAATCGCATCCAACAACTCATCAATCCTGGGGAATGGATACACATCGTTGATCGTGATATCATTCAACTTTCGATAATCAATGCAAATGCGAATCCCTCCAGCCTTTCTAGGTACGATCACTACAGGGAAAGACCATGGACCTATAGCGGGTTCGATCCATCCATTAACTTCGAACTCCTTAATGCGCTGAAAAGCGGCCGCTCTTTGAGTTGGCGAGTATTGGTAGGGATCGCAACTAATGGGTGGATGATCTCCTGTGAGAATGGCATGCTCGATCACATTATTAAACCGATGTCGTTATCGTGTATGCTTAATACTTCTTCGTAGCCATTTAACACACGAATTAACGATTTCCGAAGTTCCGTGGGAACGTGACCTGGCAAGGTGATTGTTGATTCCCCGGAGGTCTTAAGGGGCATATCGATCCAATCAACCGGCCGTTCCCGTCGATCATGGACACTAGAAAAAACGGAACTACTCGTGTGAACAGAGAACACAGTTGCTATCATCTGGGACTCAACAGGGCTGATCATCTCTATTTCTTTAGTTTCAGCATCAGTTTCTGAACCAACTGAGGTCGGTTCCACAGTTAGCCCTGTTAGATCCGTCACTTCTTGCATCAGATTAGGTACATCACTTACCGGTGCTTCCGCCTGTTGTTTTATCAAGGCGATGGTGGCTCCTGTCATTAGTAACGATCGGGGTGGAAAAACAGAAACGTCTAAATATTGTTCCGTTTGCTGATAACGCGTTCGTAAGGAGAGAGCTCCCTCGTACAAGGTGCGAGGGGGTTCCAAATCATCAGCCAGATAGGAAACTTGCAATATGGGTTCCCCGAGGAGGACTGAAGGACTAACTTGAGTTATCGGAGGCGCAAGCGCGCTGTCTCCGGGATCAACATGGAAACTTCGAGCAGGGTCGGGGCACACTTGGAATTCCTGAGGAATCTCGTGTTCGAAAAGTTCAACCAAGTGCTTCCATTCATCTTCGCTGGGCAACTCTTCTTCGTATTCCTGTTCCCTGATTCCATTAATGATGTCCGAGGGAGAGCACTCCTCGAGATCAATGCATCGAATCATCCCAATTTGAGCCGAGTTAGGGACACGTTTTATCGTTCGGGTGGAAACTCGTAAAGGGAAAGTTTGAGGCTTTCCCCCAATTTGCGTGAGTACCAATTGTCTTGAATCGAAATGCAGACGTGCGCCTACCGCCATCGCCCAAGGTAATCCCAATAACACAGAATAGGAACGTACATCTATTACGAGCGCGTTTACAAGGACTTGTACTCGCCCGACTTTTACAGCCACGTTCTCGATAATGCCTACGATGTTCATTGCCTCCTCGTCGGCAGAGACATAATTGTCTTTGCCAAATTGAGGAAGAATGGATCCCAGTCGTCCCGTCTTTTTGACAGTATCCAATGATATGGCTACGTGAGAAGACCCTGTGTCAATAAGGGCATTAAATGGCTTGCCCCAAACTTCATAGTCACATTCCGCACTTTTTCACAATACCGGTCGAGCTCGTATGAAGTGATCTTTTTCTGCTAAAGAGATCGCTGCTAAAGCATTCGATCTTCCCTGCTGGATGAGGGAACTGGGGCGCGAACCCTGGAGCAGGTGGGGCAGGTAAGAGTGGAAACGATGCAGGGGCGGGCCGAGCAGGTGGCGGGTTAGGCTTAATTAGTCGGCTCATTATCTGTTCCATTTGTTCCATATGAGCGGCCTGCATTTGAATCAGGTTGCTCATCCTTTCGGACTGCTTGGTAGTGGCCATATGGATCATCTGGGCAAGGTATAGACTCGTTACGGTCGACGAGGGGAGTTCAGATGAGGTTCCGCTTCTAACGACTGCGATTGGTTGATTCACCGGGGGAGAGGGAGGAGAAGCAGGTGGGATATCAGAAACGATCCCGCCGGGAAGGTCATGGTCGTGGCGGGGATAAAACTGTTCGACCACCTGCAACCATGATCGCCTTTTGGCCGTTACATCCCGTATGGTATCTGTAATATCTTTGTCTCCCTGACTGATATATTTTTTTTGTATCAGCCAGGTCCAACTCTAATGCTTTAGTGATGATGACCGATAACTGGTGTGTTTTCGGCGGGACCTTTTTTCTGCAGTTTTCCCTTTAATGTCGGACTTCGTAAGTGATCGATGAACAAATCTCGAGCGGATTTCTCGTCCCGCCCGGATTTGTCGAACGTGGTTTGGAACCGATCGACGAAATCGGGCAGCAATTCCCCTGGTCCTTGAGGTCGATTTTTGAGTACATACCAGGCGGCATCTTCCCAAACCGTATCAAATCAAGCCAAAAATGCTCACTTGAAAGTGTCTCAATCTACCCACGCATGTTTCCTAAGCCAGTCACGGGATGTGTTGCGAAGTAGCAATGTCAGAACGTGGGGGAGGTCGGCTGCGCTGTTGTTCTCAGCTTCGACAGCTTCCAGCCATCCCTCGGGATGAGTATGGTTAGGGAAGAAGGAGAAGGGGGCAGGGATACTAACGATCACCCTAGTACTGTCCACAATTGGTATTGCTGGTGCAACCGCACTAGACTGAGACCTGGTTACTGGGCGATCCCGACGAGTTAGTTGAGGGTCTCTCCTACCTCTCGCCAGTTCGACTTGCCATCATCAGAACCGACACGAGTCGGCTCCGATGCCAACCTCATGCCCTGTGCTGTCTTTCGTTCGGAGTGTTAATTGTGCGGAAAGAGGCCCAAAAAAACAGCAAGATAGGGTGTGCCAAGGATTTTTGGAAATTGAGTATGGGGACACAGACGGAACTGAAATCCCCCGTGTTGGTCCAATGAAGCAAGTCGATTGTTTTCGCGCGTCGCGAAATGCACGCGCGGACAAGGCGCGAAGAGAGAAAAATCCAAATTCAATCTAGGAAGTATTGTCGGGCTTCCCACCGTGCTACGGCCCGTCGTTTAGAGCGGAAGGGCTTCTCGTTTTCGGATCAAGTCCCGTTCCCGTTCGTTGGTCATTTCTGAGTCTGATGAGGAGGGTCGCAGACGCGTGGCTCTCTCCTTGTGCTCGTCCTCACTCCATATTCGGTAGTGGAAGCCCTTCGCTTCGTAGCAATCGAAACCCTAACACTCTGTGCACAGGGTTTGAGGCCAATGGGGCGCCACTGCCATCCACGGGATAACGATTAGTTCGTTAAAGGGGAGCAATATTGAGTAGGGTGGGAAGTGTGTGTCGATAATAACAAACCCAGCCTCTACGAACCCCGAACAACGGTTTGTCGGGGGGAAGTAGTATCGTCCGCCGATCTGTGTAACAGCTTTTCGTACGCCCCACTCGCATACACGTGTCCTTTCCTTGTTGTAGGGAAAAGGTCGTGTGGGAACAAAAGGTACAGGAGGCTGACGCCCGATCGGAGGGTACTTGTCAGTCTACATATCAATCACGAAGAGAAAATAATCCTCAATCAATCCTTTTCTACCAAAGAAGGGGGAAAAACACTCGTCAGTTTAATCACGCATGCAATTGACGGGACCGATCGCGGCTCAACTTTAGTTAGCTAGGGCGATGTTGATTCCTGGCACCTTGTTTACCGAGGCCGCCTCGTGGGTTGGCCACTGAAGCCGGACAGCATAAGGCAGATGGCATGCGCAGTGCACTCAGAGCTACAGATCTAGACACTCTTGCATTCTCGGACAAAATCCCGACTACAATCGTTTAATAAAAAAAAGCCACACGTCTCCATGCATGCATCCACTTTGGAAGGTGCGAAAATGAGACATGCACAGGAAAGGATAGATCGCATTGCACAGTACACACGCATCCACCGTTCACAAGACAAGAAGACAGGGTCCTTGCATAGGAGGATTACCCAGGAAACTAATGGAAGAGTTCCGGAAGAAGTTCTTTCACACAGAAACAGGATGCAAACTCATTCCCATTCAGGAGAGGGACAATCATTTAGACGCATCATCATTCAAAAAGAGGAAGAGAAAGACAAAGAGAGAGAGAGAGAGGGAGAAAAAGAGAGAGAGAGAGTCGAGGGAAAGAAAGTCAAAATAGAAGATGACAAGGTCCGGAAAGAGAAAAGTTCAGCGTCGCTGCCGTACACTCACGCCAAAGATAACAATCTGCAACAAAGGCGCATCCGCCGTTAATTCCAATATGGCCCCGGGCCAATCAACTCAACTCCGATCATCGATCCTCATACCCGCACCGACGATCCCGGACGTCACGTGCTAACTCCCACCAATGCGATCGTCACCCCGCTGTCGTAAACTCGACACGGTTCACCCAGATCCCACAGTCCGTCGTGGCGATCCGGCGCGCAACCGGCCAGTCTATCGTCAGCCCGACAGTACTTTCCGACTCGCTTTAAACACTCTGCCTAGCCACTGCTTCCCGCAAGCTGGCTTGAGAGTCGAGAATGTAAGAGTGATTTGCGGACGCGCTTGCGGGTTTTATAGTTGCGACAGGGGAGATAGAAGGGGGAGAAGGTGACGGGAAGGCTAAGGTGTAAGAGGAGAAGC